AACAGTGCACTGAGTGCACACCCCAGGGCAAACGTCCGTGCCTGGTCAGTGGCTCTTGGCACCCTTTGGCGGAGGAATAAGGCAAACATTTTATGATGCTCCAAGCAACTGTCGTTGTATAAAGACAAAGGAATACATTTAACCAGCGTAAACTCACACACCATCCCAGACTGTCCAACACTGACACTGAAGCATTCTAAATAGGTAAAATAATTTGATAAAAATAGATTTGTATTTTTAAGATCTAAGATAAAATAGTTATACAACCCTATTTTTTTTAATTGAAATAGTTACAATAATGAATTCATTACAATGTAAAATAAAATAAAATAATGTAAAATTATGAGTATGACTGATAACAAAAAATGACTTGATATATAAACACTCTGGGCTCATTACAATGAGAGCAGGACTGACTTCTCTCCAGTATGAAGCGTCTCTGCTGTCACTGGTTCTACTGGTGCAGCCTGCTCTGGCTGCTGTGACACCCCCCCCCCACCCCCTCCCTCACTGTAATTCAATCAGCCTGCCAGTCAACGGTGGTGATATATGAGCTGTAATGGAGGGCCGTTAGCAGATGACTCAATCTAAGCAGGGGGGCCAATATGGCCACCATGGTTCACAACTTCATGTGATTCATTTAAAAGGGGAGAGAAGTGAGACCTTCCCACCCTGGCATTTTACCTGGTTGTTGATGGAAATTATTGTTATGGATTTCTTTTTGGTTCAAAGTTGAATTTAGCAAATTTCTTTTTTAATTCTATTTTTTTTTTATTAACATATAAACGTGTCTGGATGCTGACCTAGCAGCCTCCAGTGATGCCCCCAGAAATTTTTAATATGGGCTGCCAGATGGGTCTACAGAATATCTTGGGGTGGCACACCAAAACCAAGAGTCATAACCAATCATCAGGAACTGGATTCTCCTGTTGAAGTATATTAAAAACTATGTCAGTGTGGAGAGTTGTTGAAACTCATGCTGATATATGTTGGTTTCTTATCTTACAGTTAACCTTCCTAATTATCTTTACTGGTAACAAGTTTTCTCAAGTTTAGAGGAGACTCCCTAACCCTAACCCTAACCCTCAGAACCTATTTTCATCAGACATCTTGGGGTAAAAGTTCAAGGGACCCCTTTGAAAATGGCCTTGCCAGTTGTTCCCTCACAAAATTCAGCCTAAATATGGAGTGTTATGTAGCCCCCTTTTACCAACAAGCTGTGCCAACAGTACCAATGGATGCCTCATGTTGTCTAGTTTTAAAAGATACCATTACCATCTTGCTGGAGCATACCATAGACAATAAAGTCAGCCCCCAATTATTTATGCCAGGGGGTGCCTTAAGTCTTCATATTTCTGTATGTATACATGTAAATTTGTTAGGAGATATACATTCAAAGTGATTTTGAAATATTGAAACAGAAAATTTCCCTCACTTTTGGATCTTGAATGTACAATATATTTCTTAGTTAATTAGGTTATTTGGGGATGTGTCGAAAAACCATTGCCAGTAAATTTAATCCACCCAGCAATCATGTTTTCTCAAAATTACATTTGGAAAACCAAATTAATAGTATGTAAACATAATTTATAGGAAACAGGGTTGCCCGTTGACTTTCAATGATTTGTGCAAAGTCAGGAACATTGCAGCAGCTGATTCAGTTAAGGACTTTCATTAGTTGATGGAGTTAAGACCTTTTTTTAAGACGCCTTTGGCATTTTAATCCATTTCAGCAAATACATATTCATGGCTTTATGTTTAGTTCAGGTGTTAGTAATACTTTAGTATATACCAGCATTCACCAGTGGGTAGCAGTAAACAATATCTTCAAGGTACAGGGGTCGTAGGATGCATGCAGCCACTCGCAGAATACATGATATGCAGATTAAGGCATGTAATGAGGAACCAAAGTCCAATAATACAAGTTCTGCATGGATAATTTTAGCTGTATGCTGTTAGCAACATCCCTGATGTTTGCACACCAAACCAATTGATGTGTGAATCAGTCACACAGTGGCAAGTACAAATGAAACAACAGAACTGCAAGACCTGCTTGCTGGTTCCGGGTCAGCAACAGAGAGAGAGAGAGAGCTGTGTATCAGACAAGGACATCATTCTGCCATTGTAGGGTCTGTGGATGAAAGCAGGTCCAACATGCTGACACACATTTGACAGCAACACCCAGATGTGCCCATCAATGGGACAAGGAAGAAAAACAACCTGTACTTAGTATTTTCAGTTTGATATCACAAAGAAAGGAAAGTCTATTTAGTCACATTAACTAAAAATAGTAGTAGTAGTAAAAATAGTATTATCCAAACTAGTTTGTCGGGTGTGCAGGTTTCTAATCATTATTAGCTACTGTATCAAATATTGGAAAATTAAAAGTTTACTTTTACTTACACTAGACTTTTTCTTACTTTATTGCAGGTTTTGCTATTACACGTTATCACACTCATCACTTATTTCATTCATCCTGCCACATTTATACAACTTTTTCTTTGTCCTTCTTTGTCCTTCTGTACTCTTTTAGATATAATTTATTTATTTAGGTTTTATTATTCCAATCCATCTGTTTCTTCGACCCATTTACTCCAGAGTCTTATGCATTCATCCTCCCTCTTTCTCAACTTATAAGTGATTCTTTCTATTTCTTTATTATCTTCAACTGTTAATTTCCAGTCCTTAATAGATGGTTACTTTACATTCATCCATTTCCTTGTAATTTGTTTTAATGCAGCTATATTGTATTATTAGCTTGTATTGTATTATTGTATACAAATATTTATCTCCTCCGTTCTCTTTTTCTGCTGGAATGATTTCTAATGTAATGTTGGGTGGCTGTAACAATTTTCTTTAAATTAAAAATACTCCAGAAAAGACATCCAAGAACAACAAATATGTCAGTTTTTAATTAACACATATTATAACCAAACATTTCTGTGAGGGCGATGTTAAATTAATTAAATGTTCAACCAAAATAACAATAATAATAATAATAATGATAATGATGATAACAATAATAATAATAATGATGATAACAATAATAATAACAATCATACATTTTATTTATAGAGTGCTTTTCATAGTACTCAAAGACACTTGACATTAGATAGAAATTATCATAAAATAGAATACACTTAAAATATACGCAACATTATTCACACGAGAAGCAGCTTTGAAAAGTTGAGTTTTAATGAAAATATGAAAATAATGAAAATATAAATAGAGTGGGACATTTTACAGATAAAAAACAAATGGAGACACACAGTGCTTCTCCAAGTCAAATATGCTTTGTTGGTAGGACAGGGTACTTCTTAGTTGGTTGCTGCAGAGACTAGGCAAGACTACTTCCTTCCATTTGGTGAACACACATTGGAGCAGGCAAGCATGGGCCCAGGCATGCGACATTAAAGAGGCCCTGCCTTCAATTCCATCTAATCATGTGCAAAGAACTGCCCGCTGAGGATACATATATGCATCCTTGAAAATTCTCTGAAGGAAGGACTCAGTCTTTTCAATTCAAAGGATCCCTGACATTGGAACAGTCCGTCGACAAGATTTAATGAAGTAGCCTCCTTGAAATTCAGCTATTTATGGATCCTTCCTTGACTTTGAGAAGCACCATCTGTTTCTTCTGTTAAGTCATGGAAGTTCATTCTTGACATTGCAATAGTATGTTTTTACAAGTTAATACTCAACTCAAAGGTCCTTTAACTAGAATTTTTTTAGAGCTTTCAACCACATCACACACTCTTTAGCTAAATTACCCCTAACATATTGGCATTTCTGTCCTGCAGGTTCTTGTGACCTATGGGCTGATATATGACAAGCTAAAGTAGACTGATATTATTGGCCATGTCACTAGTTTCACTCCAGTCTGGACCCTTTGTTATGACTGATATAGTCTCTTATTTAATTGGATAAGATGATGAAAAAGCCTCAATATTTGTGCTCATATTCAATATCAGAATATTAATCTGCAACATGTGATCAAATATTATATCAAAGGAAATTATCGTGAAAAAGACAAACTTACATTTGATGTTATCTTTCTTTCTTATATCTTTAATCTCTTCTCTTCTCTCATGTATTGATGCCGCTTATAGCACCTGCTCTTTGTTGATGTTTTGAAAACTGTTGGTTGTCTAACTCATGAGGGGAAAACATTTAAATCACTGCAGTATTTTCAGACTTTGCTGTGTTTTTCTTCTTCTGTTGTATGTTGACTACCACCACACTGCCCCCTACAGGCTGTTAACAGAGTTTATCAAAGTAGGGAACCTGCAGGCGCTGAGAACCTTTAGAGTGCTGAGAGCCCTGAAAACTATCTCAGTCATCCCAGGTAAGGCCTCACCACCACCTGGGGGCGACAAGACACAGAAAAAAAATCCCTCATCATCGTAACGTCGTCGTGAACGTCCTCTCTTGTTCGTCCCATGTCTGCTGTGTCTTGCAGCACCAGCCCCCCTGCCTACGTCCCACTCTCTATCCAATGAGGAGTCACGGGTGTAATCACCTGATCTGAACTGAAGACACAGTAAAGAAGGAGAAGTCAGACATGTAAAAGCTGAACACATGATCCACATGGATAAACAGTGACCAACGTTTTGAAAAATCTCCACCTTAGAGAGCGTTTCTAAAAAAAATCTCTCTTTTAGTGACCTAAAACTCCATTTGGTATAGGCAAGAGGCTTTAACATGGAGGTCAATATCTGTTTTTAAACGTATCTGTATACATGTAGACCCAAAAGTCTTTTCAGAATCTGAAGTTGAGTTTGTCTCCAGTTTATATCCATGTGAGCAGCTTTGACCATCTTACTTCCCCTTCTTAATAGCAGATGTCTCTGGCTTGAACCTCCACCTGGCCTGTCTCTACTGTATCTCTCTCTGTCTCTCTCCATTTTTATATCCCTCTGTGTCGGCTCGTTGTTGCTCAGTGTGGTCATACCCTTCTGTGTGTGTCTGTTCTTGTGCTTCTGTCTCCCGGCTTGTTGCAGATATGTGACTGAGTTTGTGGACCTGGGTAATGTGTCAGCCTTAAGGACGTTCAGGGTGCTGCGAGCGCTCAAAACCATCTCTGTCATCCCAGGTGAGGAAGGGAAATGCAGGGGAGTGAATATCAAACGCACCCCCTCCCGGCTGGGGCCTGCTGGAACAACTAAAATCAGTGGCTGTGTTTGAAACCTCATCCTGCATACTACCTACTGAATAAATCTGCTTTTTCACATTGGTAAAGTACACATAGGTAGTATGCAGAAAGAAGCACCGAATTCTTCCTCATAATTAGTTGTGAGTGAACATCAGAGGCTTAGCAAACAGCGACTTTACGCAAAACAACTCTCGACAGTGAGCCAAGCAATGATACATGAGTAAAAATTGGTTCTAATACTTGTTAAAAGGCTCACTGCTTCATTTAAATTGAAGCTAAATTCACATCTTGAAATGAATTTATGTTAATGATGAAAAAGATTTGTCAGCTGGCATCACTTTTGAATGTTATCAGCCCATTAAACGGCTGTTATCAGTTCTTATCATGACCAACATTGTAGTGACTTGATCTCTACAAAACAAAAAACCTAAGCCACTGATGGGCTGCTACCAGGACTTCTAATTGACGCGTCATCTGTGGCAGCTCCATTGAATGAATCAGAGTCCATGCGGTTGCTCAAATGTTGATCATTTATTTATGACAATCGGTCCATTTAACAATATAGCCTTTGTCGACCTACACACACTTATACCATTATAACTTGTATGCAAAACAAACAAAAGGCTCAAAGTTAGGCCACTAAACGGCGATCAAAAAACTGTGTGCTTCTCCCGGTAAGCAGCACACCTGTAGAGAAATTAACTCTTCCTCTACTTGTACCTTCACAGACACCATTGTCTACACGCCACCTACTGTGGAAACCAGTGATCCACACATCACTGGACACCGATACAAAAATGGCTCTAACAAACATAATGCGTCAGATGAAGGGATTCTGTACCTACGAGTAGATCAGAAGATGCAACGTTGTCAAATGGTCACAGTTTTGTAAGGTTTCACCTTAAGATTTGTCAGGTTAAGGCCCCAAAGCTACATGTTTAGGTTTCTCAGAAAATCATGGTTTGGGCTGAAATAAGTATGTCTGTTAAGTTCTGTTCCGTGACCGTACCGTACCGTAACATTACGTTACGTTAAGAACTTACCAGCCCATTCTCATTCCCTGGTTGTCATATATGAAGCTTTGTCACGTCCTCTTGGAGTGTGATACCAAAGCCAAAGGCACCCTGTGGCATCACTGTGAGACGCACTGGGCTTTCAGCTAAGCCCAATGTAAAGCTATCCGCAGCATTCTTTGATGCTGAGAGCAGCTGACATAGTTTAAAGAGAAAGAAACTCCATATGGGTGGGTGGGAGGCAGGGGTGGTAGATGGGTCACATAAACATGGACTTTCAGCAAATAGAATGCTGCTCATGTTCTTTGTGAAAGCAATAGTTAGCTTTTGTTTCCATAGCATTATGTGACCTACATAGTTTTAATGTAGTTTTATGTAACTTACATAGGTATCTGAGAAGTTATGTGCTTACGTCACGTTACGTGCTTACGTCACGTTACGTACTTACGTCACGTTACGTGCTTACCTGCTTATGTCACGTTACCTGCTTATGTCACTTAATGTACTTAAGTCATGTTATGTGCTTACATCACATAATGTGCTTACATCAAAATATGTTCTTACGTCACGTTACATGTTAATTTCAGCCCCCAATTTTTTTCCTAAACCGTTCCGAGTAGTTTTGTTGCCTAAACCTAACCACGGCCAATATTTATGTGTTACAGTGTGTTTCACCCAGGTGACAGCTGCGCGTCACACACACAGAGGTTGAAGGAATGCCTTGTGTGTCAGTATGAAATGCCAAGGGGTTGTCAGTATCTGGGAATGATAATGGAAACTTATGTATGTCTTTTAAAATAACTCAGTGTTGACTTTTGGTTTGACATGGGCTAGGAACATGGGGCACAAACATTTACTCAAATACAAATTTGAGGTACTTGTACTTTACTTGAGTCATTTCCTTTAATGCCACTTTATACCTCTATATTGATCTTTTTAATTGTATGTAGATGTATTTGTTCAGCCTTTTGCCCTTATTTAAATACTAATTTAAAATGTGGAACTATTTCTTAAAATCTGTTGCTGCCTAGCCTCTGTATGTTCCCACTGTGCATGTTAGCATGCAGTGCCAATGGCGCCATTAGCATTCCATAAACATGATAAAAACATCTTCATGCCATAGTCGTGGCCTTGTTGTAACAGTGTCTAACACATGTTATAACTATAGCAGTAGTAGCAAACATTTGGAAAGCATGTCACAGCTGCAGCCATAACTAAATATAATTACGTTAGTTATTCAATAGTTTACAGAAGCTTCAACATTGATTCTATTGGTTAATTTTGGATGCAAATTGAAAGTGTGTCTGTTTCAACTTGTCTGCACCCTTTGTGTTCTCAGTGTTTTTTGTTCCTGCTGTTTTTTACCATATGTTTGTGTGTGTGTGTGTGTGTGTGTGTGTGTGTGTGTGTGTGTGTGTGTGTGTGTGTTGTGTTTTTATCTAAATGTTAATGGGGAGTTTGCTTTGCTTGATTTTGTTGGTGATGATGACTTTTCTTCCACAATGGAAACATTTTTGAAAAACTTAAAGCTGCTGTCAGATGAAAACCTTTCTAAGAAATGTTAAACATCGACAGGACGAAACTTTTACGCTGTATTTTGAGAGAGTTTCATCTAACAGCAGAGCTTTTTTCCTGTTTTCTGTAAAACTACTTTTCTTTTTCATTTAATGTATTATTTATCATGTAGTCTCACTCACCAGACCTTTCTCAAGAAAAGAAAGGTCTGGCTGGGCCAACTCTCACTTTGAGATTGGAGAAAAAAAAAAACGCCCTGGCTGCTTGTACTTCTTTCAACCAATCACAATCGTTCTGGGCGGTGCCACAGCAACGGTGCGCTTGCAAAAATATTGCCGGGGGGAAACAGGTTTTGGTGTAACACACCCACAAAAATATCACCTACAGGACACAAACCATGGCAGAAAAATGGCTACATCCCCACAAGATCAAACACCGCAAAAGTTAGTAGAGGACGTGTTGAAAATGGTTGAAAACTGCTACACAACCGAAGGTGGTAGGGCGGGACTTCAGCGGGTGGCTCGTTCCGCCCAATGAGAGGCTGATCTCTGCAGCAAACTTCCGCCCACTCAGACTATTTATCATGTGATTTATTTCTATGGTGCATAAAGATGGCCAACCTTTAGTTTGACCTACCTCACATTGCTGCGGTTAGCTTTAAAACAATAAACTGAACAAGTATTAGCAGGTTTTTTAGATTTTCGTTCACAAATTAAAAATGAGTGTCTTGATAATTTATTGCTTTAACTCTATTTGGGTTTGGGCTCAAATATTTTGGAAAGAGACTGGAGGATTGGATTAAGTTAAGATTGAATTTAAGGCAGCTGACATCTCTATGGTTCCTGATCCATTGATTAAAGGAATAGTTCACCCCAAAACAATGTAAATTTTGTATAGTGCTCAACTCTCAAGGCTGTCCATGGTACCAGAAAAAGTTTTCTATAGAGTGGTGTTAAGGAGAGTGCAGTGCCCAAAAAATGGAAGCATAAAAGTGCAAACAGACTTGACAGAGTCTGAAAAGAAAAAGTAGTTGTAAAACGTCTGAAAAACATTATGAAAATTGCTGTACAGCATTCACTAAGTGACTTGTATCTATTTGTAGGTTTAAACCCAACTATTTTGCTAAACTTTTATGAAACACAGTTTTCCAAATGAACAAACAAAAGTAATTGTGTTTTGATTTTGTTTTTGGACATTTTATAACCTTTTTTGCTCTCTTTTGTTTGGACCCTGTCAATGTCTGTTTGCACAGATATGCTTTCATTTTTTTGGTGCACTGCTCTCCTCAAAGGAATACTTAACCCACAAAATGACCATTTGTATATCAGTTACTCACCTCATGTTTCTTTGAATTTGTGAAGAAAACTTTATTTTTCTCGCATTTTTCAACAGTGAATTAAGAATCCACAAAGGGCGAACATTCCTCATTGATTGAACTCAGTGGGGTCCAGGTTTAACAACAGCAAAACTATATAAAAACATCTGTTTACAAACTCACACACAACTCATGCAATATAATGCAAGTCTCATTTATCCAGTCGTATGCCCAGTAAACACATGACTTTTCACTTTTCACTAAAACATTGCGATATAAACCACTTCTGCCAACATGTAGCATGTCCTGAGCATGCCTGAACAGATGCATAAGTATGAGTTTCGCTTGAGCAGAGTTCGAACACACAGGTGTGCCCAGGCATGCTACTTGGCCATTCATATGACTGTTTGTACTGATGTTTATATCATAATGTCTCAGTGAAAATGCATGTGTTTGGGAAGTACTGTGCATATGGATGATTGGATATGGATTATACTGCAAGAGTTGTGTGAGAGTTTGTCAATTAATGTTTTTATGTAGTTTTGCTGTTGTTAAACGTGGTCCCTGTTTACTTCAGCTCACAAAAAATGTTTGCTTTTTTTTGGATTCTCCATTCATCTTGGAGGCATGCGAGAAAAAACAAAGTTTTCTTCACAAATTCAAGGTAACACACAGTGAGTAATTGACATGCAAATGGTTATTTTGTGTATCTTCTTTAACACCACTCAGTTTAAGACACTTCATATGGTACCACAGAGAGCCTGGGGAGGTGAGTACTATATAAAATTCATATTGTTTTTGGGTGACCTTTTCCTTTGAAGTAGTTCAAAATATGTGCCCCTTTATTCATACTAGCTGCTTGTTTTCTAGTTTTGAAATGGATTTTTACTGAAAATAATGAATAATTTGTTTAATTATCTATTTAATCAGAGACTGAAATTGAGCAAGCTCTTTATGTAATGTTTTTAACAAGGGTTCACAGCCACAATAACTTTTATCTGAATATTAATCCTGTCTGCATCCATGGCGCTCTGGCAGGCCTGAAGACCATTGTTGGCGCTCTGATCCAGTCAGTGAAGAAACTCGCTGACGTGATGATCCTCACCGTCTTCTGTTTGAGCGTCTTCGCCCTCATCGGCCTGCAGCTCTTCATGGGAAACCTGCGGCAGAAGTGCGTCCGCAGCACGGCACACTGTGTCAACAGCAGCCTGCCGGCCAACACCACCTTCTATTGCAACAACAAGACCTGGGCCTCCATGAAGGACTTCATCAACGACGAGGGTGAGAATCAAAGTCTGAACTGTTACTGTGGATGTGATCAGTTGGTGTTGGCACACTTTGCAAAAGCAGTAAGGAGCTGGTTAGGTTTATTCATTGCTGAATAATTCATATTTGACAGAATGGGATGTGAGATTTTGGAAAGTGTACTTACTTCTGGCAGTGGGTCAGGGTTCAGGGAGGTTTTTCTCAGGTGTGTTTGGGATCAGATTCAGAGGTGTTCTGGTGTGGAGCAGCTTCCATTATCCTGTCTGATTTCCCATTATCACAGCAGCTCAGGTTTAGTCTCAGACTTTGTTGAGGAGTGAAATGCCCCAAACTGTGACAAGTCTTCCTAGCAGTTATTGTCAGCATAACAGAAAATGGGAGCAAACATATTGTAAGTCACACACTCAGGAAACAGCTGATCTGATCTGATTCAATCTGGTCCAGTGTGTTAGTTAATTGTTTCAGGAAGTGTCAGAGCCATTGAGTTTCCATTGGAAACATTGAGGTGACATCCTGTTGTTTCAGGGAATGTGGGGGTTTAACATCATGTTGGAATTACTCATAGATTATACATGATGGGATTCTAAAGACTGATTCTGATTCTTTTTTAACTCAGCATTGTTAAATTTGACTATTTTTGACAATTTACAGAAAATACGATTGGACCTTCAAAGGGATAGTTAGAATTTTTTGAAGTGGGGTTGTATGAGGTACTTATCTATAATCAGTGTATTACCTATGTTAGATGGCAGTCTGCATGCCACCAGTTTATAGAAGTAGGAAGGAGTGACGACACGGAATTTAAGCATAGCACTGCTGTGGATGTGGTCAGCAACAAAACATATTTTAGCCACCTAAAAAAATCTATATCAGTTTACATGTACTCTATATTTAGAATATTTTAACCACTCTACCTGAAACTGATCAGAGCAGCAGTAGAACAGCAGCTCCTGTGTTCAGCAAGCCAAAATGACTGATTTTCTTAATTGATTCTGGCTTTGATGAGAGCATAGGTGGACATTATGTGAATAGCGTATACATATACATATACTGTTTTTTCATGCATCTGTATCGGGGACAGCTGTGGCTGGAAACATTTTGTTTTCAGTTGTCCATCCATCTGTCTGTTCCATTCTCATGAATGTGATATCTCAAGATCTCCCTGAGGGAATTTTACCAAATTTGGCACAAACGTCCACTTGGACTCGACGTGAACTGATTCGATTTTGGTGGTCGAGGTCTTTGTGACCTCACAAAACATGTTTTTGGTCATAACTCAAAAATTCATACTCTAATCATGACAAAATTTTAGGATAAAATGATGACATTTTGTATCCAAAAGGTCAAAGGTCAAATGTCAGCTTCACTTTGACATCATAATATTTGGCAGAAACACTTTTCTGGCCATCACCCAATGGCATAACTCAGGAACAGAAGGGGAGACATTTGGTCAGAGTTTCTGACACTAATCTTGAAACTGTGCTGATTGTGCTGAAGATGTGTAAAGCATCTACCTTTCAAAATTTGTAGCTTCTTTGCAGCCACATCCATAATTGCAGCACTGTCAGTTGTCATAGCTACATATTATTTTGGATAGACATGAATATAAACTGTAACTGCAACTTGACTGGTTCATGGAGACATGAAATTGTGAGGCAGTAGTTCTAGTTTAGGTGGCTAAAATATGGTTTGCTGCTGCCTCATGTTTTTCAAATTCTGATGATGGCAGCTGTAGTGGTCAGTTAAAAAAATATTTTTAAAAAGGAATTAATAAATGGACAACACTTACATTTTTAACATCAAGACGAGACAGCAGAGCAAGACAAGCTTCTAGTATCTTCTGTAGAGAGGTGTGTGTGTGTGTGTGTGTGTGTGTGTGTCTTTACTGATGTCAGTTATAACCACAGTGCCAACACGGCATTGTCCAGTCCATTTAGGAAACACCAGTCACCACTGCAGCATGACACACACACACACACACACACACACACACACACACACACACACACACACACACACAGTGTCAGGTGTGATGTGTGTGCAGGCAGTTCAGCTGGGCAGTTTACCAGGAACATAATACATACAGGATGTGACACATGCACACACATGCACACACACACACACACACACACACACACACACACACACACTGACTAACACACACACTAAGAGGTCATGCGAGGTTAGCCAGTATACACTATTTGACAGATCAGGTGTGTTGACCAGGGAACATAATATATGTTATGTGAACATACTAATACACACATACAGTAGCACTTACAGTACACACACACACACACACACACCTGCATATAGGTTGAGGTCAGGGTTAAGGAAACACTTAACGCTGCTGTCAGATGAAACCTGAGCTTGATACCACCTTGTCTTTTTCTCCATGGGACCAAATCACTAAACTGTCTTTGTGTTGCTGCTCATGTTCATATTTAATCTACATACAGCAGGAAACTCTAAAATTACTGAAAATCATCCAGTGAGGAAATAGTTTCCACCGGTAATCGATTAAGTATTCCTTATGTTTTGTTTCCATCTTCTCATTTCTACTTTTTTCACACCATGTCTTCTTATTTTGTGTTATTTTATTTTATTTTGTGTCAGTCCATCTTTTCCTTTAGCCAGTGGTGAAGGAAGTATTCATATCTTTTAATTATTTAAAAGTAGCACAGTTTAAAAAAATAGAGGTCTTTTCCTCAACAAAACAAATGGACCAGGTGATTCAAACCAGCAAAAACACTGTATAAAGCAGTTTTACATTAAAAATCAGTGTTTCTCCGATGCTGTTTAGCATGGCAGGGCAAGTAGCTGAGCTGCCGATAATGTTTGCTCAGCTTGTTTCCCTGATAACTTAAGATTGAGACATCCGATGACTTAAAATTCGTATCTGGTTAAAACATACAGTTAAAAACTACCTAGAACTAAACATTGTATTGTACAAATGTGCCTTAAAGCTCGATAAAATGTCTATTTATGACAGACAATTACAGCCCTGACACATGTGCGAAGCAGATATGAATACACTGACAGGCTACTGCCACCGAATGACTTTGTGTCCTTGCTTAAAATGACATATTTCTTTGGGTTTGAACATTGTTCAGTGACATTAACTTCAATTTCAACTTTGACATTGACATTAACTTCAACTTCAAATTCTGGCTGATAACTGCCAACTGAAGAAGCAGCCAAGCCACCATGCCTTTCATACTCAAACAGAAATGTATACAAAAGTGTGTGCCAGATACATACAACAAATAAACACACACTAATACTAACTGTATGACATTAACATAAAACAATGAATGCACGTTACTTATTGCTGATTATTATTAAAAAAACAACAACAAAAAACAGCTCATAGAAAGACTGCATGCTCTTACTTTCACATGCGGAAATGACGTCATCAGTTGGGTGATCACGTGCTGTCCGAAGATGGCCGAGTGTGATACGAGTGCATTTTTGACTGGCGGAAAGTTTGTCTCAAAAATCCATGTGTGTAAAAAGCAAATCCACACTCGTAGAACTGAGATCCACAAATGTTTTTTTTGATTCACAAATAAAAACGGAGTTCACAAATGCCTGTTCAAAAGTTGTAAATGTTAGGAAGATATTAATATATATATAGATATTAATGCTTTTCATTTATTTGCAAATGAATTTAATGTATTCACAGATATTTTTTGTATTTGTGGAATGTGTTTTATATTTACAGATTACACATTTACACACAGATTGTCAATCTGTTCACACATAATTATGAAACGTGTGCAGATCAAGAAATATTTGTAGATCACCCTCTGTGCATTTACAGGTATTAATGAGACAAATCTAACTCCATAGTGATGCAGTTTGTGCACAGTAAACAGAGCAAACATTTAAAATGATACGAGTCATTCTTCATCTCAAAAACCTCAAACATTGACTTGAGGTATGGCTATGGGTGATCTGGCGGGGAATCTTCATTTCCATCTGCTGCCGTAGCCATAGTAGCATTGCATAACCAAATACATCCGCCTGCTGATGACCTCTCCTCTACCTGTCTCTACTGATGAGCCGCCCAATCTGAGTAAGCACCCCAAGTTGTTAGCTTGGAGGTTCCTGTTGTTATCCATCGCAAAGGGGATTTGGAAAGTGGTAACACGCAGATAGAGGAAGGAAGAGAAAATGCCAGCTTAAATAGCCATCCAATAGCAGGTTCATAGCCACAGTCATAGTCCGGTGAGTCAGACTACAAAAACATGAAAAACAAACATGATACCAGCTCAAATTTATAAGCAAGCTTGTATTTATTTATTTTCAGTTAGTTTAGGTTAGCAGCAGTTGAGGTAGATTCACAATCCAGCAACAACAGGAAATATCCTGTTAAAAAATCCACCCCTGGACAAACAGACCCCCTCATTATCTAAAAACCAGATGTGTTATTATTTAATGTAATGATGCTTCACTGTAGCACAAGAAGGACACCTACCCCAACCACACACAGTGTTTCTACTGGGCCTTAACTTCTCTTAAAGGGTGAAACCATCCAAAATAGAGGCAGCTCTGAGCTTACAGTAACGGGGTTTGTCGGGACACGCTGCTCCTTGCTAATGCACCTTCTATTTATTCATTTCCAGTTTGCTTTCCCATCCATCACATCAAACAAATGTCCCCTGCAGGCTCCCGTATCGACCTCTAAAAGCTGCCGTGAAACCTGAGCTCCGCTGTTAAAGCCTGTCCTGTTGGGCTGGTCTGAAAACAGCCCCTCAGTGGGAGATCAATGGTGCATGTTCTCCATGCTCAAACATTTCCCATCATGCCCATCATGTTTGTTCAGTCTGCTCAGAGCCAGCCGTCAGCAACCATTAGTCCCTCTTGTTGTACAATTCAGTGAATTAATTTCAGTGCTTACACCTAGAAATGACCTTGTGACCCTGGTTTTTCCCTTAAAATTTGTCTAAATTATTTTTATCAATAAAAACAGTGTCTCAAATTCGGTGAAATGGCAACTAGACCATCTTAAG